TTCAGCCAATTCCCAGTCAATTTTCAGCCAATTTTCAGTTAATTTTTCGGCCAATTTCTAGCTCATTGTCAGCTAATTTACAGTCAATTTTCAGACTATTTCCAGCCAATTTTCAGCCAATTTCCAGCCCATTTTCAGCTCTTTTACAGTCAATTTTCAGCCAATTTTAGGACAATTTCCAGCCCATTGTCAACTATTTCCATCCAATTTCCAGCCAAATTTCAGTCAATTTCCAAGCCAATTTTCGTCAAATTTTCATCCAATTTTCAATGGTGCTATTTTCGTCGGTCAATAAAATCAAGAATTCACCTTTCTGATATTTCTACCATTGTTAACAAAGGTAACGGTTCAACATGTAAATTATAAATTGGAAATACCAAAATAAAACAAGTACCAAAATTTAAATATCTTTGAAATGTTTTAAAAGATGAAAGAAAGTGTGACACTGAAATCCGAAGGCACATTGGGGTAGCCAAATGTTAGCAGAATATTAAGAAACTGAAAAAATTTGTTAGAAACAAAGAAAAGACTACTGAAAATTGCCATGATATCATTCCTCCTATACGGCTGTGAATGCTGGACAATCCCCTGGAAAAGAGACTGTGTATCGAAAAAACCATATTTTCAATCACTTAATATATATATATATATAAATATATATATCGGTATATCAAAATACTTTTCCAAATTATGAGAGCCGTTTCCTGACACTAAAGCAAGCTAAAATGTCCATATAAACCTATATCCTAAAAGCCATCGTTGTACCTTAAAACATCAACTCATAGCAAATGTTCAATTGGGCCTACACTTGCTTCCGTACACACAGGAATCCATTGGATCCTTGACTGGCTAACTTTTACTTCCACTCGGAATGGTTTTGCAGGACCCCATGACACGTTAAAGACAAACTAGCCACCAATGTACACGAATGACAAATGTAACTTAGTCTAAATGGCAACACAGCGCCATTTACCGTAAACTTTCTTGAAACTTAATAATTCAAAAACGAAGGATTTGCGGACATATATTTATTTGGAATATTTTCCTGGGTTTTGATGTAAGGAACAAGCCAATGTTTGTAAAAGTAACTTTTGATACACCCTGTATATAAGTATGTGTATGAGTGTGTGTGTGTGTGTGTGTGTGTGTGTGTGTGTGTGTGTGTGTGTGTGTGTGTTCACGAATATACTCCAGGGTTTTATTTGACATATGATAATTTGAAATGAATTAATGAACGCTAATTCGCCATTATTGATAACGAAATGGTTCTTGACATCCTGATAAGATGTTACTGAACCTGAAAAAATTTCAGCTGTAAATAAAAATTAAATTTAATTAAAAATAACGCGTATGATTTCATAGATGCCATGGATACCTGTTTCGAAAAACAAATTCACACGCGTTTGTACAATTATGCATGAGTATATAATTTCTATAGACACATAGATTAGCTTTTATAAACTTGTACGTACATATATACATATATGATATATTTATGTGTGTACCAATAAATTGAAATTACGAAAAGGGTTTGTCTTAGTAATCTATTAAGATATTATAATTATTTACTAATTTTGTATTTCAGTTAAATCTATATATATCTATAACCCTCTGACTCTCTCTCTCTCTCTAAGCATACTCAGCACCTGAAGATTGCGTGGTAAATGAAACTCAGAGTCGTTCTATTTAATAATATATGCTTAATAGCTCTGTTATATTAAGTCGAGCACTATTTTATTATCACCAGCACTTCATGTGCGATACATATATATATATATATATATATATATATATATATATATATATATATAGCTCTCTTATATTACGTCGAGCAGTATTTTATTAACACCAGCAATTTATGTGATATATATATATATATATATATATATATATATATATCCTTAAAGGAGGCACGCTGGAGTAATGGATAGCGGCTTGGATTGAGTATTGATTCCAGTCGAATCCATTACATTCGTTTACGGGCTGATAATCTTGAGAAAGGTATGAATCCTCCCCCTCCCAGCTATGGGTAAATAGCAGGACATACTTGGATGGCAACTGGTCTAGGAGAAGGACAATCAGAAGTCAAAACCTGTGGAGGGTTGTTTGGGGACCTTGTGGCACGTAGTGCACCAGGTCTCTGTATTCGGCCCTTCAAAAAGAGTTGATTGACCTGCACAAAAATTTCACCATTATAATCAAATCATATATGATGGTGTCTGGGCTGTCGGTTCCTAGAAACTGAGCTGACTGACACTCATACGTCGAATACGAAGGGAGAGTCGAATATACATATATATATATATATATATATATATATATATATATATATATATATATATATATATACATATATACAGGGTTGGACAAAATAAACGGAACAGTTGCAAAATCCACTTCTATATTTCAAATATTTCCACAATACATATTATTATATAATTTTAAATATACGATAAAGATTTAAATTAGACAGTTCTTGTTGAAATTTAATCAAATTTGTTTAAATGACATATTACTATCGAAATATGCTCCATATATATATATATATATATATATATATATATATATGTATGTATTAATTTTGTACACGTGTTAATATGCAAAGTAGATAAATAGAAAAGATATATTGTCTGTCATTTTGTGAAGAATTAATGAAATATATTTTTTCTTTTTCCATTTTAGTTTCCATTGTTATCATTAGCACATTTCTGTTTTTTTGTTTCCCCCACAATTGTGCCGTTGTTCTTCCATATTTCATCTGAAAAAAAGCCAAAGAATAATTCCAACGAAACTTGTGTTGACGGCACAGTAGAAAATACACCAACCTGAAAATGATTTCCTCTCAATGAATTATAAAGGTTTCTTTTCCGATGTTGTTTTCCGAAGCTGAAAAAAACGAATCTTACTTGGTTTTAATAAGAGGATGAATGGAATAATTGAACCGAAATAAAAAAAAAAATGACCCATCACCATAGCGTGACTTTTCTGCAATTTCATGGCAACTGCTCTGATAAACTTTTTCAGATGTGTAGCCTATATATATATATATATATATATATATATATATATATATATATATATATATGAATAAAAAAATAACAATAGGAAAACTGGTAATTTCTGACGCGTTTCGTCCAATGTGGACTTTATCAAAGCAAAATACGAAATTTTTCGTATTTTGCTTTGATAAGGTTCACATTGGACGAAACGCGTCAGCAATTACCATTTTTCCTTTTGTCATTTTATTCATAAATATTGTCTTCTCTACTGGTTAAATCGGATAAATTTTCACCCATATATATATATATATATATATATATATATATATATATATATATATAGTGTGTGTGTGTGTGTGTGTCTGTGTGTGTGTGTGTGTGTAACAGCAAAATTGTACAAGTGTTAGAATAAACTCTGAACCGCTGTACCTTAGAAATGATTAAATATATCTTACTGGAATTCTTTGAGGTTTTTATAACACTGTTGGACTATACTTTGATCAATAAAATATGTTTAGCTCTAAGTTGAAATGATTTGTCCAAATTATGTAACAGCAAAATTGCCCAATTGTTAGATTAAGCTTTGAACTGTTGTATCGTAGAAATGATTAAAGATATCTTACTGGAATTCTCCAAGGTTTTTATAACATTACTGGATTCTACTTTCAGCAATAAGATTGCGGAAAGTATAGTCCTATGTGTTATAGTGTTATAATACGTATTAGAATCTCAAGAAGACTTGAAATTAAGTTCATATGTATACACACACACACACACACACACACACACACATATATATATATATATATATATATATATATATATATATATATATATGTTGCAGGATAATTTTCTAACTTATTAAAGATGATCTTCGCCCTCTCGAACCTTCTAAGTTTCTGTCCTTGAATAACAACGTGCCTCAGGTTGCACGTACCATTTCATTTTCAAGCCTTTTTCACTGCTCTTTAGACTGTCGTAAGTGAAACTCTTCACTTACGTGCCAAATATCTTATTGATTGCGTTGTATCTTTTCTAATTGATCTCTTTAGTTCTAAGTTGAAATGATAATCGCGCTTCCTGCTGTGACCTTCTGATCCAGATTCCCCCTCTACTGTTCCCTCTTTTTTATAAGATTATTCACCGTTCTCTTGATGGTTCTTGAACGATCTTTGAAGATGGAAGCCAGAGTATGAATGTTGGTACCATTGCTGAAGGTTTGAATGATCTTTTTTCTGTCGCCATTGCTTATTTGGGAAGAGAGCAGGGCTGACACAAAACGATTTTAACCTGTTCTCTTTCTAGCTGAATAATTGACAGTGTTTTTCAGTGATTCTTACGACAAATGAGATCAAGATGGGTAAACTTCTCTGAAAACCTGGAAAAAAGAAAATCAATTATTTTAGTGTTTTTTTTTTTTTTAGATATTAAATAATTTGTGGATGGATAATTATATTGCCACATGATTTGGACAATTTACTGTTACACCCGGTATATATATATATATATATATATATATATATATATATATATATATATATATATATATATGAAGAAATATAGTTTTAATGTGTGCTATATTTATGCGATAAAGTGCTCAATATCAGAGTTAGAGCGTCTGTAAATATAAATAAAAAGTGAAAAATTAAAGTCAACACTCAGAGGCGACAGGCTGTTTCATTCTAGACGCATTCAGTTTTCACTGATATATATATATATATATATATATATATATATATATATATATATATATATATATATATATATATATATATATATATATATATATATATATATGAAATTAATTAGATTCATATGAACAAGAAATAATGTCGAATAAAAATATCATTTCAAATATATCTGACTTACGTTCATATCACGTTGAAACCGGTTCCCTCCCGATCAACAAAGTTAAGCAACTTTGAACCTGGCCCGTACCCTGATGGGTGACCGCTAAGGAATACCAGGTTCCATAAGCTTGGATGTGCAGGTGGTACAATTTACAGCCATATCACGGTGGAACACCGGTTCCCGCACGATCACCCAAGTTAAGCAACATCGCGGTTGGTCAGTACTGTGATGGGTGACTTTTTACGAATACCAGGCTCTATAAGCTTGGATGTGTGGGTAGTCTGCTTTATTGCCATATCACGTTGAAACATTGGTTCCCACACGATCACCTAAGTTAAGCAACTTTGAGCCTGTTCATTACCTGTTGTGGATTCCGAGATGAAATTTGGTCTCCAATGAATGACAAACGCAAGAATTAAATATAAGAAATAAAATTTATTTACACAATAATACCAAGGGTAATACTGTTAGTAAATCCAGGAACGCGGTTAGTAGCAATAACATATAGATATATACAGTCTCGAAGTAGGACTTCCTTAGAGTCTTCGTGCTTGTAACTGACTTCTATAAGAGGTTACCTCACACTATTACTCTACCTCCAACTCAATCACAATCTCAGTCTTCTCTCACTATCGATATTCTGACTGACTCTGGGTATTTAACGGCAGCAGTCCAAATAATACTTTGGTCGAGTCCACTTATATGAAAAAGGGGAGAACCCCCATAACACCCACCTCCTTAGATCCATTTTTTTGGGTGGGGGGAGTTATTATTTGTCCTAAGTATTTAATTTCATTTAGGAAAAAATCACACTTTTCTCCTTTTACTTTGAACCCAAAGTCCTGAAGTCTTCTGAAAACTTCTTTTATGTGTGATGTGTGCTCTTCAACATTGTCGCTCTTAGTTAGAATATCATCCAGATAAGTGGTCACGAAATTCTGGCCCGTGAGCATTGTGTCCATCGTTTGCTGAAAAATTGCAGGTGCAACTTTTACTCCGAATGGTAGTCTGTTGAATTTGTACCACCCTTTGTGCGTATTAATGCAAAGGATTTTTATACTCTCTTCTTGTATTGGAATTTGTAGATAAGCCTCACTAAGATCTATTTTTTTTTCTGGGCTCGGTAGTGGGTAATGGTGGTCTTTTATCGCCTTGTTGAGTCCCGTCTAAAAATCTGCGCATACGCGAATTTCTCCTGACTTCTTTTTTACATAAACAACCGGCGCTACCCAGTTGCTAAACTCTGTTTTTGAGAGAATCCCAGTTTGTTCAAGTCTCTACAATTCTTTGTCTATTTTTTCTATAGTAGCGAACGGTACATTTCGCTTCTTTTTAAAAATTGGTTGGACGTTTTTTTTAATTCTATTTTGGCCTTAAATTTGTTGCAACGTCCCAAATCGCTCGAAAATACCTCAGGAAATTGGTTATATAATTCTTCCTGCAATTTTATAGTATCTGATGGTTCAACCTCTAACTTTTTGCAAAAAGAGTTGATAGGTAGGTCCCAAACGTTGAACTTCTGCATCCAGTCGATACCTACTAGATTTTCAGTATCTTTCATGACGAATATCTTAAGTTTTTTTTTGTTTTGTCGTGAAATTTAATATTCACGATTATTTCTCCTTCAAATTTTATTCGTTTGCCTGTAACCGACTTGGCAATTTTTTGTGTGTAACATGGTAGGTCTGTTGAGTTTTCTCCATGTCTGTAAGTTGATTATCGTGAGGTCGGAACCCGAATCCAGTTGTAATTTAAACTTTTTATTTAAAATTTCCAGTTCCACATATTTCCTTACGTTGGTGTTGTCATCGTTATGCATCCTTGTAGCTCTTATTCTATTAGTATCCTTTTCTATTTCTACATTGGGATGCCTTGTGGCCCTTTTTTTCCACATTCAAGACAGTTTTTATATCTAAAGCGGCAATCCTTGTTCAATGTAGTCCTCCACATCGATAACATGCTGATGGGGGGGGGCTTATATTTTGCTTCGATATTCGTCAGAATTTGTCGTGTATGTTGTACTTTTCTCTTATTATAAAATTTTCTTTTTCTTTCCGGGGAGGGTGAGAATCTTTTTTTTCATTGTCGTAAAATTTTAGTTTTCTTTCCGGGGAGGGTGAAGAACGTAGACTTTTGTTTAACTTACGTATATGAGAAACAGCTGATTCTTCAATGTTCTTTGCGTCTTTCTTTATACTTAGACATCTCTGGCAATCGTCCGATAATTGATGTAATGTTAAACCCGGTTCATTTTGTAATTTTCAAGCAGTCTTCTGCGCATTTCGCTATCTTTTGTAGAAACTAACCCATGAACAAAGATGAGGCATTTGAAATTGTCCGGGGTTAATTCTACTAGTTTGAAGTCGTCAAAATGTTTATTTACGATTGCGGCAAACGTGGAATAATCCTCATTATCGCCCTTTACCAAGTTAAGGCATTTCAACCTCCTATGGACAAATGATGTTTTGGGGCTGAAGAGTTCTTTAAGACATGTCAGTGCTTCGTCAAATGTTAATTCGTTCGTCTTTTTTGGCAAGATATAATACACGAACTTTGTATATTCTTCAGTTCTTAATTTTCTAAGCAATAGACGTAGCTTTTTTGCTTCTGTCCAATTTTGACAGTCTATGTTAAAGATGTCTTCATGTCTTCTGAAGTAAAATTTTTGTCCTCATCTAGAGAATATTTGAAAATCTCTATGGTATTTCACATGCGTCTTGCGAAAATGTTGCTTTTTTTCAGTATCTAATTGTTTGTTGCCCGCTACTTTCAAAATTAATTCCTGGAGCTCTATTTATCTTCCTAATTGTTTTTGCCATTTTTCTTCCATTCGTTCTTGTAGTTGTAATTGTTGATCATTTTGGTGTTTTATCAGTTTTTGAAACATGAGAACTCTTATGTAGCGAAGGAATCATATTTTTTTAAAATAATTATAATATATATATATATATATATATACATATATGAAGAAATATAGTCTTAAGATGTGCTATATTTATGGAATAAAGTGCTCAATATCAGAGATAGAGCGTGTTTAAATATAAAAGTGAACATAGAAGTCAACATTTAGAGGCGACAGTCTGTTTCAGGAACAGACTATATTTCTAAGTGTTGACTTCTGTGTTCACTTATATATATATTGATAATATCACTTGTCAGTACATACATATATATATATAAAATATTTTTGAATTTGTAGATCTGATGAATTGGATCGTAATTATGATTCCAATGTAATAAATTATAACCATGGAATATTAGTGTTTGAGCATTTTATATTTATACACACACACACACACATGCACACACACACACACACACACACACACACACACACACACACACATATATATATATATATATATATATATATATATATATATACATATATATATTGTGGTTAAGATATTTTGTAAAATAAGTGTTTAATGCAAAAAATGGGATGGTATATTGGAAAAACGTGTTAAATGTTAGCACCTCAAATGCGTTTTAAAACACTGCTACTCTCCTCACATTAAATTTTGTTCATTGTTGGTAGGTTGCTTTGTATACAGAGGGCTTCGATAATTTGAAGTATATTTTTTTCTTTATTTTATCAGTGCAATTTATTGGTGTTGCCAACAAGTATTTTTCTGTATACAGCGCCTTCTTGTTTGAATTTCAACTTAACTTCAAGAAGATATTTGGAAAAATAGAAAGAATTATTAGAATTATTAGGAAAATAAATAGACTTAATATGTCTATATTATTTAATAAAATATACTTGAATAAAATATGATGCCTACATGTGTGTGTGTGTGTGTGTGTGTGTGTGTGTGTAATTATATAGGCCACACGACAAAATGTTTGACACGTAGACCCACTCTACACCTATAGCTCGATTAGATCTCATTTAAATATTCATGGAGTCTTACCGGACACTATTCGTAACATTCTTGTTGACAACACTAATATAATAACATCATCTACATGCAAAAAAAAAAACGCTAAAAATAATGGAAGCTTTATTAATAAAAACAAAAAACCAACACTTAATAATATTAACTTTGAACATGGACAGAATATCTTGACCTTGTTTTGAAAAAATGAAAATATTTTATAAAACATACATGCAACAAACTATTTCTTATTTAACAGTTAAAATATTTAATCCTTGAAAATGGCTAAATGTATAGCAGAAAGCGCTTGGATAAAAAGAACATTTGGACAGTTTTCATATAATTTATTATCTGAAAAGAAAAAAATTATGAGATTGCATGAGAAATTCTATAAAAATTTAAATAAAAGCATTTTATCTGTCGTATTCAATGAAATACACACACACACACACACACATATATATATATATATATATATATATACATATTTATATGAGACAGAGAGAAGTTTGTGCATATTTACTCATAAATATTTAATGAATGTAAATAAAAGCAAATATACTTTTTTGGACGAATATGCACACATAGAAAGACATATTCATGTGGGTTTGGACGCACACTTGTGCATTCAAAAAATAGTAAGTGTGTCTGTGTGTGTGTGTGTGTGTGTGTAGTAGATACGGAAGAGCCTGATTGGGCCAAGAATCTCAGTGCGTGATTCATGTACATCATATAATAGATAGATAGATAGATAGATAGATAGATAGATAGATAGATAGATAGATAGATGACAGATAGATAGATAATGATAACAGATAGATAGATAGCTAGATAGATAGATAGATAGATGAACAGATAGATAGATAGATAGATAGATAGATAGATAGATAGATAGATAGACAGATAGATGAGATAGATAGATAGATGGAGATAGATAGATAGATAGATAGATAGATAGATAGATAGATAGATAGATAGACAGAAACGAGTATAAAATATCATCTGTCGTCTTATTTAACGTAATATTGCTCAGAAAATCCCATCAAAAAATGTGCAATGGCTCTGATTACTAGTCACCAATCAATCATGGCCTCAACTTGTGATTTATTTTCAGGTTGAAAACTTCTCTGTCCTTTGAAATAAATGATTTACAGATCGGAAAGCCTACAGACATTGATTTATATATAGTCAGATATTCTAACGTGAGCACTCATGGCAACCTATTTATGTATGTCTGTGTATGTGTGTGCGTGTGTCAGTTTGTCTGTGTGTGTGTGTGTGGATAAAGACTAACTTTATTAAGACAAACGAAACGCGTCGTCTAAGGAAAGTTTTCTTTTTGTGTTTTTTTATATATTTTTTTTTTTATTTTGATT